CAATGCACAAGTCACCTTAGTACAACATGCACTCAGTCAGAATTTCTGGGGGTAGAGGGTGAAACGCTATAAGCTTTACAAGGATGTTGGTGAAAGGTATATTAAACACAGGTCTGAGAACCAATGCTCAGAGAAGAAAAAAGGAAGAGCTAGCATATTCACCACGGTCATTCATACGCATATTCATATCCATTCACATTTCCCTGTCTCTCTGCCAACTTACTTTCCCACACTCTAGAACCTGACATTGAGATGTGCCAGAGGCATTGAATATCAGGTACTTGGAGGATTAAAATATTTAGGGAAAACCACAGAGTGGCTGATAGTCATAGCAACCACCACTCCTTTTGTCTCCAATTTTATCTTCACTTACTTTGTACTTGGATTTTTGATGAAGCCGGTGTTTATGAAATTCGGGCAGAGACATGTTGTTTTGATTCCAGTTCGTTCTAAGGCTTCTAGTTCTTCAGTCAGACTTTTGTGAAATCCAACAGCAGCAAATTTACTTGAACTGGAAATAAAGAGAAGTCACTAATTAGCTCACGAACAATGAGGTATCTATTTAATTGAGACATCTGTTTTAGTTTAATTACATGTGATCTGATGCCCAGCCTGGGCCCTCAGCCCAGACCCAGCAAATCAGAATCTACATTTCACAGGAGCCTTGCGTAAGTTTGTAGCCACGCTACTGTCTGAGAAGCAGGGCCACGGGGCACTAATGCACCCCGCTTCATTTATCAAAAGAGTTCATCCTGGGAAATGGATATGTTATTGATTTCTTAACATTGGCATCTCTGTAAAACTTCACATCAGTATAGACTGATCGCTGTTTATTATAAAATGTTCACAACAGATTCACTTGACGAGTCTTGTTCTTTCTCTCAGTCTCAGCCTTCCTTCTAAAAGTCCAGTCTAAAATTATTTCCCTCAGCTCCATGCCTGGCTGCATTCGCTACGATTTGCAACTGTACTTTTGTGTGAATTTTCCTTAGCAACTTTTCTACAAATTCCACAAATGTCTTGGCTGCTATTGAATCCCCGAGGTTCAGCACAACCCTTACCTCTACAAACACGTGGGGGCTTCAAAGAGGTCACTGGAAAATCCCATTCTCTCGCACCCCAGTTTCCCACGAACTCTCTGTGAAACCCCCTCATGTTTGTTAAATGAATGAATCAAAATTCTGAGCAATCGTTACTGCAGCTCCTTCATTTGGAAAGAGAGGTCAGCAATCATATTCTAAACAAACTTTCTCTCTCCAGATTGGGTGATTTTTATACTTTGAAGCCCGTGTAAATCAGCACATCATGCAAAATAGCTGTCAATCAATGAATTTGGGTTTTGGAAAACTGAAAGTTGTGGTGGAAATCTCTCTCTTTTTTAAGTTCAGGTTTATGTATTTAAAGCTTAAAAGAAGTAACTGCTAGATTCAATCATATGGAATGAAAATATTCTATGTACTACCAACAACACAAATATGAATATTCATATCAAAAAATGTGTTACGATATGCCAGAAAGTAGCCTCAAGTATTCCGTGTGATCATTTAGTATCACAACCATACAAAATAAAATGCATTATTATCCCCATCCTCTTACGGAGAAAACTGGGGGCCAGGGGGGATTATGTAATTTGCTAAAGGGCACAAAACAAATGAGTAGAATCCAGATTTTAGCCCTTGCAATGAACCAAGTTGGGTTTATTATACACCCTACTTTTATTACTTATATATACTCTAAACTTTATTATTTAAACCTTATTAGATATACCCCAAACTCTATTAGGTCCCAGTCAAATTAAGATGCAAGAAACAAACTGGCAAAGCATTTGCAACATCTGAGACAAGGGTGTTGAGAAATGGGGCTTTCTACTCTCATAAAGAGTTTCAGTCTTAGAAGCCCCGGGGCAGTCCTACCCTGCAGAGTCCTACCCTGTCCTTCAGAGTCGCTATGAGCCGGAATTGACTGGATAGCAGTGAGTTTTGTGACAAGGGTGAGGGTTAGTACGTGGCAACTTTTGTACACATAGAATAATGGGGACCTTCATGTTCATGGTACATTGTGTGAGACCGACCCTTCTGTGGCTTGGGTGTTATGAGCGGTAGCATGTTCTTAGGTCCCTACTGCTGCTGTAGCTGTTCTCAAACTGCCACCGAGTCAATTCTGACCCATAGCGACCCTGTCAGTCAGGGTAGAAGTGCCCCTGTAGGTTTCCAGCTATAGCTGTTAGATGCTAGCAAGTCAGTTTCAACCCATGGAGACCCTGCCTATGAAGGAAGCACTGCCCAGAGCCATCCTCACAAGGGTGACATTTGAACCCATGGTTGCAGCCACCCCATCAGTCGGTCTCACTGAGGAACTTCCACTTTTTCACTTCTCCCGGCTTTACCAGAATGATGTTCTCCAGGCACGGATCCCTCCTGCTAACATGTCCCAAGCACAGGCCACAAAGTTTCGTCCTCCTTACATCTAAGGACGGTCTGGCTGTCCTCTGTTCATTCTTCTGGCAAGCCATTCCATAGACTCCACCAACACCATGATGCAAATGCACCAATTCTTCCTTATCCATGTTTCAGCTTTCACAGTCTTTGAAGCAGTTGACAATAGCATGGCTTCAGTCAGGAGTACCTTACATCACTGAAGTGACACCTTTGCTCTTTAACATTTTAAATAAGTCTTTTGTAACCGATCTCCCTCATGGGATTTCTTAACCTCGGCATTCATGGATCCAAGTAAAATGAAATTCTTATTTGTTTCCATTTTTTTCTCCATTTGACATGATGTATAATAAAATGCACAGCCAGTCCTTGTATGACCTGTAGTTCAATCCCCATAAACTTTATTACATTAAAACCTATGGGAGCCCACTGGACAAAGCCAGAGAGCTGTGTCCAAAGGATAGAGGAATCCAGTTTTGCTGGGTGAATGGCTGACCCGGCAGGGGCTATGCGGGCAGCCAAATTAGAACTTTGTGCTTGGAGGAACACGGCTGGTGGTAGAAGCCCAGGCTGCCACAGTCAAGTGAAACTGTCATCACCCCTGTCCAGAGCACCAGTGCCCATAGTGGAAGTAGAGGAGTCGTGGCAGGTGCAGCAGTGCACTGGGAGTGACGAGGGGGCACTGCAGGCATCATTGTGCTTCCCGGAGCCCTGCTCTTGTTAGCTCTGGGGACTTTGGGGACTTTGGTGTCTTTAAACCATTATGGGGAAGTGAAAACAAAAGGGGCTGCTTTCCCTTTCAAACTATGTACGTACATGTGGTCAGATCTTCCCTGAATAGGTGTCGAGTGAAACATACCTGTCCTCCAATAAGTAAATAGCTAAAAGGCATTAGTAGACAAGTCACTGAAAATAAAAGGTATCCATTGTCGCAGGTTGATGAAAATATCTTACAACTGGAGTGATTTATAAAATACAAACAAAACATACAGCATTTGCCTGGCCTAACATGGACAATACAGATATTAGCCAAAGTTGGTGCCATCTTTCTAAAGGCAATGTGGCAAAATGGATCCAGGTCTTTAGATGTGTGCCACACATGGCTGGCTTTTGCTGGGTCTGGATCCTGCTTCAGCCTCATCATCTTGCCTCCAGTTCTTTGGACTTGAGCCAGCAGCCTGCAAACCTTGGATTCATTTCTCTCTATCATCAGCTGCCTGCCATCTGACCTGCCAGCCTTCGATTCATCAGCCTCTGCAGCTGCACAAGTCAAGACAGCAGCCAGCCTGGCATCTGATCTACTAAGTTGGACCCTGATTGCTGTACAATTTGGAACTTGACTGCTTTTACACGTGTGCTCTGAAAGGTCTGCAGTTTGAAACCATCAGCTGCCCCTCAGGTGAAAGATGGGGCTTTTTATGCCTGTAAAGCAGTGGTTCTCAACCTGTGGGTTGCGTATGACCCTTTTGGGTGTCGAACGATCCTTTCACAGGGGTCACCTGATTCATAACAGTAGCAAAATTACAGTTATGAAGTATAACAATGAAAAAATTTTTATGGTTGGGGGTCACCACAACATGAGGAACTGTAAGAAAGGGTCGCGGCCTTAGTAAGGTTGAGAACCACTGCTGTAAAGAGTTACTGCCTAGGAAACTCACAGGTCCAGTTCTCTCTTGTCCTATAAGGTTGCTATGAGTTGGCATTGACTCAATTGTTTTCGTTTTGATCTTCTCCTCCCATCCCTACTATTTTCTCTAATATTGGGAAACTCAGATACAGATTTAATAATGAAAAATTATCGTAACTAGGAATTACTGGGTGGTTTAAACAGCTAACATACTCAAGGCAGGAAGCTGGGGCTTGAGTTCACCCAGGGGCACTTGGAAGAAAGGCCTGGCAATCTGCTTATGTAAAGCGCCACCGGTTTTGCTTCTCTCGAGAACCCAGCCTGAGACACTCACTTACCTTTTTTTGTATTATTAAAGCCACTTGCAAGTGTTATTCCTGACTCATGGCACCCTGGTGTGATTGTTACGTAATTCCATGTCAACTTGATAAATAAGGAAGGGGTGGAGTCTAGTCTGTCAAGCAGATCACAGCCTGGGGATGCCTCCTTGTGGGTGTGGCCTTCTCGTGAGGATTCTGGGAACTTCCTCTTTCTCCCCGGAGGCGGGCCACACTCTCACCCTGCTTCAACTTCCTGGTGAGGAGTCACACTCAAGGAGTTGGAGGAGCCACATGGAGACCCACACCAGTGCTGAGATGCTTACGCCGGCATTGGATCCACAAGACTTTTTACCCACTGGCCTGTGACCTTCCTGCATTTGGCATTATTGCATGTGGCTGTGTGTCTGAAGAGGGATCTATGGAGTAATATTGGACTTTTAGGCTAATATTGGACGTATGGATGTGATCTGGATTGGGTTGGGATGTTTTCTTGATATACAATTACTCTATGATATAGAGCTCTTCTAATATATATTTGAGTGTCTCTGGATTTATCTCTCTAGTCAACCTGGCTTAACACACCTGGTCCACCTCGGAATGGAACTGTGCTCTGTAGGGTGATTTTTTGGGTGGCAGATCACCAGGACTTTCTTCTGAGTTCCCTCTGGTGGCCTCAAGCCTCGAAGCTTTGGGCTAACAGCAAAGTGTAAGCCCAGGGATGCCCTTGTATAAATACCAGTGTGAAGACTGTGTTTGGGATGGATGAATATTCACCTCTCATACAGATTAGCAGAGGCCGCCTTCCTCTTCCATCTCTTCTTCTTCCTCCCCCTTCTCCTGCCATCCCCACTAGCTGCCCTTACACAACCAGGAAACTCAGTAGGATTTATTATTTTTATATCACATAATCTATAACAGCGTTTGACTATGGAATAATTACATGACTATATAATATAGACACACTTGAAGGAGGCGGCCGCACAGTCCTGCGCCGTCCTCACAATAGTTCCATTGCTGAGCCCATTGTTGCAGCAACGGTGTCGATCCATCTCTTTAAGGGGCTTCCTTTCTTTCGCTGCCCCTCTATTTGATCAAGCATGATGTCCTTCTCCAGGGACTGGTCTCTCCTGACAACATGTCCAAAGTACTTGCCATCCTTGCCTCTAAGGATCATTCTGGCTGTACTTTGATTGGTTTGTTCTTTTGGTAGTCCATGGTAATTCCAATATTCTTCTTCAGTACCGCAATTCAAATGCATTAATTCTTCTTAGGTCTTCTTTATTCAGTGTCCAACTTTCACATGCATAGGAGGCAATGGAAAACACTATGGCCTGGGTCAGGTGCACCTTAGTCTCAAAGTAACATCCTTGCTTTCAGCACTCTAGATGGGTCTTGTGCAGCAGATTTACCAGAGCAATGCATCATTTTATTTCTTGACTGCTGCTTCCATGAGCACTCATTGTGGATCCAAGCAAGATGAAAGCCTTGGCAACTATACTTTGCTCCATTTATCATGCTGTTACCTATTGGTCTAGTTATGCAGATTTTGGGTTTCTTTGTAATCCATACTGCAATCCATACTGAAGGCTGCAGTTCTCCATCTTCAACTGCCTCACTTTCAGCAAGCGAGGTCGTGTCACCTGCATATCGCAGGTTTCATAATAAGCCTTCCTCCAATCCTGACACCACAAAGATTTACAGCCTTAGAATATTTATGAGGACAGTTCTACTCCGGCCCATAGGGTGGAATCCGCTGGATAGCAGTGAATAAACCTGATGGTTAGCATCCTTTTTGGGAATGGGTTATATTTGCTAAGTTAATGAGACAGGATTAGTGTAGGGTGTATCTGAGTCCATCTCTTTTGAGATATAAAAGAGATTGAACAGCTAGAGAAGCAGTGATGAGGCAAGAATGATGCCACCTCACATGGAGATCTCCAAGAAACTTGGAACAAACTGGAGAGCCAAGGATTCCCCTCAGAACTGACAGAGAGGCAACACTTCCCGTAGAACCGGCGTGCTGAATGCAGACTCCTACCTTTCTAAACTGTGAGAATATAAACTTCTGTCTGTGAAAGCCCCTTACTTGTGGTGTTTCTGTGACAACAGCCCTAATCAACTATGACCGAGAGTCATGCCCTTCTGTTAGTCAACATTTGCAGGAGGCCAGAGCCAGTGCAAATGTATTGCATCATTATAATAATAAACCTGTGACATCCTGATGCAATCAACGTTGCTGTCATTCTATTTAACACACGAGGAAGCAAACAGAGAGTCCTTGAGTAACCTTAGTCCTTGTCTAAGGTCATCCTGCAAGGGAGCCCACTTTCCAAATAACCCCTATCCTGGAGCCCAACTCTTCAGAAATAAACAGTCGTGTAGTCAAAGAGTCCATACTGTGCAGTCATAAAAATGATGAAAGATAAAAAATTGGCAGATTCATCAATGATGTTAAATTAGAAAAAGCTACCCATCTTAAGCTTGAGTCCCTGGGTGGTACAAACAATTAAGCCCTTGACTACTAACCTCAGTGCTAGTTAGTTGCACTTGGGAGCAGAGTTGGTGATCTGCTACTAAAAAGTGCAGCCTCAGGAACCCTGTGGGGGGAGAGCAGTCTACTCTACAGCACTGGGCTGCCATGAGTCAGACTCCAAAAGCCCAGTGGGATTCTCTTATGCTCTAGATTTCCCTCAATGTCTGATGAGATAAGAGATAAGATAAAGGGCATGGAGAGTCTTGTGCCTGTAGTACTGGCAATTATCTTCGATCAAAGGAACGGAAAATACCTGGTTGTATTAGCTTTTGATAGCTCAAGGCTAGTCTCATAACTTTCACTGGACCACTCCAAGAGGCAATGCACAAGTCTGTTCTGTGACTACTTTACCAATAAGTTCATCTTTGTTTGAAAAGTCAGCCCGAGTCCCTATTGATTTTTAACCTTTTAATTAGTAAACAAATGTATGTTCAAAGGGGACAAAATAAACTATAGATGAATAAAAAGAACAAAATAGAAACAAAACAAAACATTTGTCTTTCTAAATCTAAGAGTAAATCATTTGGTCCATATCCTTGCAAATTATTAAAATGCATCGACTGAAGAACAGCCCTCAAATGAGGAGACTGCGACTGTGCAATTTCCCTGCCGATTGCAGCAACTTCAAATCACTCCCAGCAGAGGGCGTCCTCAGTAGACAGAATAAGAGTCACACACACACTGAGCATAGGGACCAATGAAGGAAACATGTTCACGTACCAGTAGGCCATTAAGAAGGGGACCGTAATGTGTCCGCCTGCAGAAGCCACCGTGACAATATGACCATGATTATTCTTCATCATTGCAGGAAGAAATGCCTTTGTGGTCTAGAAATATATATTTTTAACCAAAAGATTAAAAAGAAAGAAAGAAAACTGTTATTTTGGGTTCACAGACCAACTGGGAATATTTTGAAGCAAACGTATATTTTTGGTAATGTTGTTCACGGTATGAAAGAGAAGCCTAGGTTGATGGGCAAAATGTGGCAACAGAAGGCAGTTGGACTGGATGCCCAGGTTAGAACAACTAATATGGGCATGACTCTTGAAAGCTCTGAGAATCTCTCTCATTTAAATTTAGCTAATATCTCATGCCCCTCTATCCTTCCCTGCTTATCTTTGATTTCTTCTATCACTTCATGTATTCAATGGAGCTAGTAATCTAGAATTAGCCAAAGAACTGTCAGGTAATATGGATTTGTGCCACAATTAGGTGGTCATGCCATCAAAATACGGAGGTGACCAGCAATCTTCCAGTGGTCACTGGAAACAAAACTTATTGAGCATCAAGTCTGGGCTGGAGTTCCAGAAACAAGTCAGACATGGTTCCTATTCAAACATCTTGTACTTCAAGAGTGGCCTAGAGAAAGGGGAGCATGTCATACCGGTGTAAACACAGATGACAATGACTTGGAATGTCAACATGAAATAAAACTGTGTTTTCACCAGCCCAAATACCCTTTGTTAGATGGTTCACCCTAACTCACATCCAAGAACACTCTGAGGTACCCTTTTAGGCATTGGCCTTTTGAGCACCGTTCGGCATGTTCAGATTCTAAGATCTTGAATGGTGAGGTTCAGAGAAAGTCTACAATGTTGGGACCAGAACCTCACAAGAGTGCAGCACTCAGAAGAGGACAGCAAACCTTTGATGCAGGGATGGGGAACCTTTTCTTCTGACAAGCGCCATTTGCATATTTATGACATCATTTGTCGGCCACACAAAATGAACCATTTGAAATTCAGCCTGCTATATGGGATCAAGCATTTCATTAACTCACCCCTCTACATGGAACTGTTTCTCATTGGTGGAGCATGTGGTATTAGTTAGCATTGATGACTTCCTGGGTCTTATACAGCCCATGGACTGGACATTCCCCACCTCTGTTTTATACTATCAAGTATAATTCAGATATCCCTAACTCTTTATCTCCAAAAGGGATCACACTGAAGTGTGAGAACATAGCTTGGAACTAAAATACATAGAACTGCTGACATTAATTATCAGTATTTTTATTTGCAGAAAGAGGAAGAATAAATGGACTAATGGATGGGATTGGAGATGGCACAAAAGGATTACTTTGTATAATGTTATCCCTGGTCCCTGGAGAGAATGTTCGTGTTGATTTGGTACTTCCTATATCTGCTGAAAGGCCAATTTTAAACATAATCTTATTCGAATGGGAATGTTTTATCAAATAAATCATACTTACCCAGAAATGGGCAAGTACATTGACTTCAAAAGTCCTTTCAATCTGGGAGTCCTGTGTAGCCATTATATCTGCTGTGAAGACTACACCAGCATTATTTATTAAAATACTCACATCTCCAACTTCTGTCTTCACCTTTAAACATGAAATCAGAAAACATGCACATCATTATCAAAGTAGGCTTGCATGCAATGGTTCTTAAAGAAATATAGGTTTTTCTACTAGATGAGAACATGTGTCATGTTATGTACACACATGGGAAAAAACCCACCATTTATTTTTAATTTAGGTGCTTCTATGTGGGAGCAAAGTTGTTCGCCCTTTAGGTACATGGGACAGGACCACCACCTTCCATGATGCTTGGTCTCTGGGAGAATGCGGATGTCTGAGCCATGGCAGCTTATGAAGCAGTGGCTGACCTGTTTCTCCACCTGAGATAAGTGGACACTGCTTCCTGTGCTCTTACCAGTTAGGTCATGTTCCCAGCCTCATCCTCCCCCTCCCATCTGTGAATAACATGGCTGACATGTTCATGCTTCGTTGTAAACCTTGCAATAGTGAACTGCCCCTCTGTGTGCAAATCTGTCACACGCTTGCTGAGAGATTATTTAAGGCCTCCCCTAATAAAGCTTGGGGCCCTGGAGGGTCTTAATGCAGGGACCCCCTCTTGCCTTAACTTTTGTCTGTCTCTTGTGCATATAAATTTTCTCCTTGCAAATCTTTCCCTCTTGAACCTGCTTGATTTGCAAGATAAGAGCCCTCTGTACATTAGCTTACACTTATTTGCAAAACAACTCAGCCTGTAAGACTACTAAGAAGTACTGTGCTGTTGCAATTTGGTCTTTTGACTTTGCTCTCTCTATTGATTACAGCCCAAGAGACATTTGGTTAACAGACACAGGAGTTTGCTATCTGTGATAAGCAGCATTTATTTTTATTACTACTTCAAAAGGTAAGGGGGGAGGTAACAAATTAAGAAGTAATTGCTAACTGAAAAAGATCAGCGGTTGGAACTCACCAACCATTCCTTGGGAGAAAGCTGTGCAATCTGTTGACTTCAGAACGATAGCCTTGCAAACCCTGTGCAGCTATTCTCCTCTGTCCTTTGAGGTTGCCATTTCAGTATTAACTTGGTAGCAACAGGTTTGGGTCTTTTGTTTTTACAGGTTTTGTTTTTGTTTTCTGGTGTGGGGAATTATGTAAATTTGATTACACCCTTAAGCTGACTACACCTACTTATTTATTTCTATTCCTGTATTTTCATGGTCACTCCATGCTACCCTATTGCTCCATTTCTATGCACTCAGTTCTAATGCTCCATCGTGTGGGGAAGAACACAGGCCCTGTGGGCAACCTTGAGTTAGTCCTGGCTCTGCCCCTCACTGTTAGGCCTTGAACAGGCTGCTTAATCTCTCAAAACTTCAGTTCCTCCTCCGGATAACAGACCTAATAATACTGCACCCTGTGAGTTGTGGTGGGCACAAATGAAACAATATCACTTTTTTTTTACATTGTGAATTGTGGTGGGCTGGCATTGTCTCTAGCACATGTAATATAGTACTATTATTTTCTATATTTATTACATGTCCATTTATATAGGTCTATAAGTAACACCAGGATCCCTGATGGCACAGTAGACTGAAGGTAGTAAGGTTGTTGGTTCAAACCCACCAGTCACTCCCTGGGAGAAATATGAGGTTGCCTGCTACTGTAAGGATGGGAATTTCATCTGAGAAAATGCATCCAAAAGGACAAGGCCAGCTTCCAACTGCACAGAGAGCATACGCTGAGATACACAGATGATCTGGACTCAAAAGGTAAGAATAGCAGGCAAAACCATTTAAAAAAACCTACTTTCATATCTTTAGAATGCTAATGTGATTAGTAGAAGTATCTTCAAATAGAAAGCACTTAGATCTTGACACTTTTTATAATATTGGACAGATTCCCCAAACTCTAGGAAACACAGATTCCCCAAACTCTATGAAATAGCATAGTATGTCCACTGTGGTGAGATAAAATGACTTGGTCTGGCTCCTCTATACATAGTCTTTGTAATTCTCACTAAATGACTGGGTGGTAGCATGCAAATAAGGTGTAGAATGACTCTTTAGAGGGGACTGGTCAGTTTTGCCATCCCACTGGGTAGAATGAGCCATCTCAGAGGCAGGAAGGGAGATCTCAGGCCCAGCAAAAAAGAAGAGTCAAGAAAGAAAGGTGGCGGGCTTCCTCAAAATATTGGGAATAGAAATACAACATGACCCAGCAATCCCTGTACCTGGAATAGATCCTAGAGAAATGAAAGCTGCAACATGGACAGATAGAGTCATGCGTATACCCCAAGCAGCACCATTCCCAATAGCAAAAAGGAAATGCCCATCCATGGGAGAAGAGATAAGTACATTTTGGTACCGATGCACAATGGTGTGCTAGGTGATGTTAACCAATAGTGGTGAATCTGCAAAATGCCTCATAACATGGATGAACCTGGATGAAAGTATTGCCTAGTGAAATTAGGCAATCCTCAAAGGGAAAATATTGCATGAGACCACTGCTATAAAAAGTAAAGAAAAAAGGTATGCACACTAACAGACACAGTTTTTGATGGTTATGGAAGTGAGGGGAAGTCAACGGCTTAAAGGGTAGAAAAATGTTAACTTAGGTGAAGGAAAAGGCAATATACAATAAAGGAAGGTTAGGGGGGAAACGATGGTCAGTCAGCACCTGAGGCACAAATTTCACAGTGACCCTTCTCATTCCCAAATCTTCTGTTAAAATTCACTGAACTGAGCTCCAAGAGAGTCCAGAAAATGGTCCACCGTCAGTCGACGTTTTCATCTGTTCAGGAAGTTGATGGACATCCAGAATGAGGTTAGTCATCAATTGACATTTCACCTTTTTGAAAACCACTCATACACTTGAGTTTTTCCTACAGCACTATCCTTGTAAGCTGTGTTCAACATCACAACAGTTTCTGCAGCATTTTTCCCAAGCAGGAGACAAAATTTCACAGCCTCATGCTGTTTTCTTGGCCATCACAGTGTCTAGCTATTAAAAAATATAGCATCTGGGGTCTTAAAGGCTTGAATATAAACAAGTGGCCATCTAGCTGGGAAGCAAGAAAGCCCAAATGGGAAGCACACCAGCCTGTGTGATCATGAGGTGTCGACAGGCTGAGGTATCAGGTACCAGAAGACCCAAAACAAATACTTATATCAATGCGAACAAGTGGGGCAGAATGGAGATCCAAAGCCCATCTGTACACAATTGGACATCCCCTCACAGAATGGTCACAAGGAAGGGACAAGCCAGCCAAGGTACAATATAGCATCGTCGACACATACAACATTCTTCTAGTTCTTTAATGTCTCCCCACCCCCACTATCATGACCCCAGTTCTGCCTGAAAAATCTGGCTAGACCAGAGCATGTACACTGGTACAGATATGAGCTCTTGACACAGAATCCAGGACAGATAAACCCCTCAGGACCAATAATGAGAGTAGCGAGACCAGGAGGAGAAGGGGAAGTTGGGAGGAGAAAGAGGGAACCAATCACAATGATCTACATATAACCCCCTCCCAGGGGAATGGATAACAGAAAAGTGGGTGAAGGGAGACATCGGCCAATGTAAGACATGAAAAAACTTATAAATTAACAAGGGTTCATGAGGGAGGGAGAGAAGGTGGGGAGTGAAAGAAAAAAAAAAGGAGCCGATACCAAGGACTCAAGTAGAAAGAAAATGTTTTGAGAATGATGAGGGCAACAAATGTACAAATGTGCTTGACACAATGGATGTATGTATGGATTGTGATAAGAGCTGTATGAGCCCCCAATAAAATGATTTAAAAACAAACAAACCTGCTAGGTAATTCCAATGATTTTCTTTACCATTACGATGTATATGTAACCTGTACCTGTAAATATGAACTCAGAGAAATGCCCTATGGTATACAGCACCTCTCCATTGTGTAGAGAAGAGGCAAACAATGCTTTATAGAAATGTATCTGTCTACTCTAAAACCCTATGAAGAACCCAGACTTTCTAACCCAACTATTAGAAACAGCTTTTTCCCAATATGCATTGCTTACATGAAATAACTTGTTAGTACTCCCCTCCCCACACCACCGCCAAGCATCCCTCCCACAACTACTTGCATCGGGACCAGACAGGCTAGTTGGAGGTGCTCAAGTGAAAAAGATACAGATTCCTGAGCCCCACTAAGACTTCCCAGATGAAAATATCTGGGAGTGTACCCAAGAATATATATTTTTAAACAAGTTCCCTGAGAGATTCCAAAACAAAACCTTTTTCTAATTCTGGATTCCCAATAGCTGGCTGAGTGACCTTGGCCTGGGGCAAATGACCAAGCTTCTCAGTTACCTCTCTGCTAACTGAAAGGCCTAGGTCAGCTCTAAAACTCCTCCCAGCTAGCATGGCATGATTCTAACCAAAAATAAATCTTACCTTCTTGGCTGCACTATAAATATCTTCTCGCTTACTGCAGTCTACGACAAAGGCATGTGTCCTAGCACCCAGTTTCCTGCATTCTTCAGCCGTTTCTTCAATTCCATTCTAGAAGCAAAAAAGTGGATGGAAGAATAGAATTAATGACATTTGTCTTTTATATCAGGCAGCTAAAACTAATCAAGGCTAGGCATATTCTTTAAACGTAATTTGGGCAAGAAATTAACTGGTACATACTTTAGAGACACTTGGCTCACAGTAGTAGCTTCTCTGATTTGATCCTGAATTCAGAACAGTTTTTAGAAAATCTTAAAAGTGCTAGTTTTTCGCATTTTAAATCTGTTGTGAATGATTGTTTGTGTACGTTCCATGTCAGGCTTTAAAAAAGCAGTAAGCTTTATGCCATGTCTCGGAAAACTATTTATGGCCACGACTAGACTGGTTGTGAAACAAATAATGATTCATTCCTTCAGCTTTTCAAAGTGCAGATCATGCTCTCTGGGCTTGGAAGACGTTCTGAATGATACCCAGACTAGGAGAAAGGAGCGTGGATTAAGTTTAATTTAGTTGGGACCATAGTAAAATTTTATTATTGTAACAAAATAATTAATACCGGTAGTTTCATATAGTTCATCCTAAAATACTGTGTTAAGTCTAAAAAAAAAAGCTATCGACAAACAGGGGAATGTTCAAGAGAGGCACACAATACACAAGTTGGTTCTTAAGAGCGAGTCGAATGGCCAGGCAAAGTGTAAGCTAAAGGGCAGATGAGAGAATGGTCTTGGAAAGGAACCATTACTAAGTCCTTGTTGCTGAATCACAGAACTCATGAGCAAGGAAGAGACCGGACTAAGGGCATTCTATGGAGTGGTTCCACAGTTAAACACTCTGCTGCTAACCGAAAGGCTAGTGGTCTGAACTCACACAGTGGGTACAAGGAAGAAAGACCCGGTGGTATGCTTTCCTACAGATTACAACTGAGCGGACAGGCAGTTCTACTCTGTTAGATGGGATTGATAGGCTTTAAAAACTTGACTCCCTGGAACCGAACAACAATATAATCACATTAAGTTTTATTCACCCTGGGAGAGGGAGTACTAGAACTGATTGAGATTACACAACCCATTTTAAGGGCGATTTAACCAATGGGTGGTGGGGCTCTAAAATTGATTGTGGTAATGATTGTACATTTATTCTTGATATGATTGAATGACTGAAACATTGAATTATATGGTGTGTGGATTAGGTGTCAATAAGACTGTTGAGAAAAAAAGTTTAATTCACTCAATATAAATGGATGAAAGACTTGAATAGACATTTCACCGAAGAGGCTATTCAGATGGCCACCAAAGAGACAAAGAGATGCTCAACATCTTTAGCCACTAGAGACACGCAAATCAAAACAAGAATGAAGAGATCATTTTTCTCCTACCAAGGAGCCCTGGTGACATAGTGGGTAATCAATCGGGCTGCTAAACACAAGGTCAGTAGTTCAAACCCACCAATGGATCTGTAGGATAAAGATGAGATTGTCTGCTTCCATAACGATTTAGAGCCCCATAAAGACTTCTCCCTTGGAGAAGTTCTGCTCTGTCCTATCAGGTCATTATGAGTCAGTGGTGGGATTTAGCTGGTTCACACCAGCTTGGCAGAACGGCTCCCTAATTTTTTGTGGTATTCGGCAGACCAGTGGTTAAAATAGCACTTGTAACCGGGTTCTTCTAAGGTGGGTGGCTGGGCAGTGGCCCAATGCAGAAATCACAAATTTGTATTCCTTACTCTCTTTAAAGATTCATCTACACAACAGCACATTCTAAGAGCTTGTAGTAATGTTCATTCCATTCCATAAGTATAAAAAACTATATGTAACTATGCTTGTGGTATTTATTTATTCAATCATTTCATAGAACTCATTCTCCTTTTGATGAAATATCACGTTTTTACTCTCATTTATTACTTCAGTAAACAAACACATGTAACGAGAGAGAGTGTCAAACAACCAAAGGTTGACGTGCTGTCATTTGTTTCAGTTTTGTGTAACGAATGTCCTAAACTCCCGCAAGATTTTATGGGCGAATATTTAATATTTGAGGAGGAAAGTGTGATCAGAAAAGCAATCTATGCTTCCTAGAGTTTCTTTAGCATGTATGCAGGACAGAGTGAAAATGTAACCTTCAAAAAATTTTAAATCATTTTATTGGAGACACTCACAGATATTATAACAACCCATAAATCAGTTATATCAAGCAAACAAGCAAACTTGTACATATGCTGCCATCATCATTTTCAAAACACTATTTTTCTACTTGAGCCCTTATTAACAGCCCCTTTTCCCCCCTCCCACCCTCATGAACCCTTGATAAATTATGTATATATATTACACCATCCACTGTATCCCTCGACCCATGTTTCTGTTGTTCATCCCCCTTGGGGCGGGGTGTGTGTGTGTTATACATCCATCATCCTTTCCCCTCCTCTCCCTCTCCCTCATGAAGTCGCTATTCCCATTACTCTTTCAGCGGGGGTGGGGTGGTGGTGGTGGTACCTGTCCTGGCTTCCATGGGTTGAAAGCTCTCATCTGTACCAATGTACATACTCCAGTCTAGCAGGATTTTTGAGGTAGAAATGGGTCATGATAGTGAGGAGGAGGAAGCATTAAAGAGCCCGAGGAATGTTGTGTGTATCCTAGGTGCTAAACTGCACTTTGGCTGAATTGTCCCTTCCATGTAACCCTGCTCTGAGGGGATGTCCAGCTGTCTACAGATGGGCTTTGGGTCTCCACTCTGACCCCACTTGTTCCCATTGATATAATTGTTTTTTGTTTTATCTTCTGAAACCTGATCCCGTTGACACCTCATGATCACACAGGCTGGTGTGCTTCTAGCACGTGGGCTTTGTTGCTTCCCTACTAGATGGCCGCTTGTTTATCTTCAAACTTTTAAGACTCCAGGTGCTATATCTTTTAATAGCCGGCACCATCAGCTTTCTTCACCACATTTGCTTATGTACCTGCTTTGTCTTCAGTGAATGTGTCAGAGAAGTGAGTATCACACATTGCCAGGTTATAAGAATAAAGTGTCCTTGTGTTAAGAAGAGGACCAAAGCCCATCTGCTAAAATTTAACATATAAATATATATATATAGACCAATACCCTTATCCTTATATATTAATCTATTTACATATGTAATGTACATGATTATATTTATGCCACCAGTACCATTTCAGATGTTGGGATATACAGAGGATAAGGAGATATGGCATATTTGCAAAGAGTTTTTAATTTAATAACAAGACAGACAAAATTGTGGGCCAATATATGTGTTTTTGCACAAAATATAAGGATGAAATTCATATGTATACAGATCTACAGGTAATATAAAAGTATGGATTTTAGCCTCTATAAGGCATTTGGGAAAGGAGCCCTGGTGGTTTTGAGTTGGGTTGCTAATCATAAGTTCAGCAGTTTGAACCCAACAGTTACTCTGAGGGAGAAAGATGAGGCTTTGGCATCTGGGAATGGTGAGACCTGCGGTCAAACTGAAGACATTGAAATATATATATTTTACACATATACTACACACACACACACACACACACACATATATACTCACACTAACCATATATAATTTGTATGTCTTCCTATTATATGTATATATGTATAGATACACACAATAACAAAAACAAAGACATTACGAGTGAAGTTTGCAATTCCTGAATGTATTCAAAGAGCGGAAAATATTGTCAGAACAACTGCTGTAAATTCAGCAGAAGCAGAAAGGGGTTTTTCAAAGATGAGCATATGTTCAGAGAAGAGAAGTCGCTTGTTTGTAATATGTCCAACCAAATAACTATTGTCTAATTGGCCTACCTCTAAAACAGTGGTTATTAACCGTGGGTCCTGACCCCTTTGGGGGTCAAATGACCCTTTCACAGGGGTCTCTCGATTCATAACAGTAGCAAAATTACAGTTATGAAATATCAACAAAAATAATTTTATGGTTGGGGGTCACCACAACATGAGTAACTGTATTAAAGGACTGCAGTATTAGGAAGGTTGAGAATCACTGCTCTAAAGGAATAGGATCCTAATCCTCCAGTGAAAAGATGGTTAAAGACAAATCACAAATAAAGCCGATAATCCTCAGATAAAAGCAAAAAATGTTGCAAGTGAGGACGCCAATCAAGAAGCAATATGGAAAATCTTAAATAACTGTTTTATTGTTTTTATCTGGTATTATTTAATATTTTTTCATTAATATTTTAAAGCTCTTTTTTTTTCTTTTTAACATTTTATTAGGGGCTCATACAACTGTTATCCCAATCCATACACACATCAATTGTGTAAAGCGCATTTGTACATCGTTTCTCAAAACATTTTCTCTCCATTTAAACCCCCGACATTAGAAAAATGAGGACCTAAAGCTCTTATAATATAGTTTTTTGTGCCTCTTTTATTGTTTTCATTTAAGTATTAACTGCATGAAATAATAAACTACCTTTTAGTATATCTTTTTTTTAATACATAAAACCATCATTAGGGCAGCAAACCAGCTGTTAAATTATTTGAATACCACCATTGGTCCGAATCAATGGCAGCGGGTTTTAACTGACAAAGAGAAAATAACACATACTGGTGAGGAATGTGGAAGCCTTCTCTACCGTGAGTGGGAATGCAAAATGGTGCAACTGTTGTGGAAAACAGCGTGGGTGTTCCTCATAAAACTAAAAACAGAACTATCATATGACCCAACAAGTCCACTGCTAGGTGTACAACCACACAGCTTGACTCAGAAACAGAGACTCAGCAATTTCCTCATATACCAATATTCATTGCAGCACTATTCGCAATAGAGAAATGGTGGAAACCACCTAAATGCCAATCAACAGATAACAGATTAACAAGATGTGGTACACACATACAATGGAACAGTACCCCATGAATAGGAGACATAGAGGCTTGACATATACTACAATATGGCTGAAGCTGGAGGACATTATGTGGAGTGGAATAAGTCAATTCCAAAAGGAAAAACATTGCATAATCTCTCAGTAAAGGGATAAAGGTCTTATCTGGCTACACAAGGGAAAAGAATCCATAGCCAGTTCA